CGCTACAAGCAGGCCGGATAGCCCTGGCTACAGGCAGGCAGGATAGCCGCTGGCTACAGGCAGGCAGGATAGCCTTTGCTATAGGCAGGCAGGATAGCTCCAGGCTACAGACAAACAGGATAGCCCTGGCTACAGGCAGGCAGGATAGCCCCTGGCTACAAGCAGGCAGGATAGCCCTGGCTACAAGCAGGCAGGATAGCCCTGGCTACAAGCAGGCAGGATAGCCCTGGCTACAAGCAGGCAGGATAACCCTGGCTACAGGCAGGCAGGATAGCCCCTGGCTACAGACAGGCAGGATAGCCTCTGGCTACAGGCAGGCAGGATAGCCCTGGTTACAGCCACATCCCCATAAACAGCTGAGCAAGTTGGTCATGGCCTGCTAGATATATTGGTTGGAAGAAGAAGAAATATGATGTGAAAATTTCCTGAAAACCCTGTTCATGTGTAGTTGCTAACACTTGTTAGCCAGAGTCAATAGAGGTTAGCACAGCTCTGCTTGAAGGTTGGTTTGATGTGGTGCAGCCATTCCCGGAGGCTTCTCAATGTAGATAAATGAACCTTCTGCAGGTCATTCTAGATAGAGTAATCTTCTCCAGTGTCTCCCTTAACCCCAATAAGACCCAATGGACATTTGAAATGATCACTCCAGAACAAGGCCTAATGTTGGCATGTACTGACTAATTAGATCTGTTCATGGAAGAGCACAATATTGCCCGAGTGAACATGCAAGTGGTATAGTTCGAAAAATCCAGCGTTGAATGTAATGAAACGCCATTTTCTGGGTGAGTCCCGGAGGCTCCCCAGAGCTATCCAGGCTGAATGGATATGTATAACTTTCTGGCATCAGTCAATGCATGGAGTTCTTGCCTACCGGGGACCACGAGCCAGAACCTGGCCCCCTCTAGAGAGGCACGAGGAGCAATGGCCTATAGAGACCCCCCTTATGGTTGGGAGCATTCTATGTCTGCCATCGACCGGGACAGGCACCCAGAAAGGTAGGCGCCCCAAAACAAACCCCTATTCTGGTAAACTATTGCGACTGAAGACCGAACAGGTGGAAAGAACTCCCCAAAGGAAAATTAGCCCTCATGACGTCATCATGTCGCCGTGCCGCCGTCTGCGCAACCCCCCCCCCCTCCCCGGGAGGGGGAAGGGGGGAGCCCCAGACCCCACCGTCGGCAACCCAACCATTAGTTCTTAGGCTGGATGTCAAAAACGCGAAAAACACCGCTGACCGGAGGGAGGGAGGGATGCCGGGGAGCCTCCGGGACTCACCCAGAAAATGGCGTTTCATTACATTCAATGCTGGATTTCTGGGAGGGGAGCCCCGTCGGCTCCCCGGAGCTAACTACCCAAAGATAAGGAAAAAACAGGGACTTACCTGGGCGGCGGTCCGTCCTCACTCCTCAACGCGAAGGCGAGACAACTTGCTGCAACCGTCGACCCAAAGCAACGCAGCCCCGATGAGGCCCAGGAACATTCACCAGGTAGCGAGCGGCCAGGACCCTGTTCGATCTCCAAAAACCCCGGGCCCGAATGTCCAGCCATGACATGTTGCCAAAGACAGCCGCCAAAGCAGCAAATTTTCGAACGTCGTGGGCCCGGGGAAAACCACAGGCTGGCTACACTTAATTAATAACCCTGCGGACAACCTGAGAGACCCGAGCCCCGGGAACAGGGAAGAAGGGAAACCGGATCAACCCAGAGGGCATCCCCGGCAACAGAAGCCGTGGCGCGCAAATAACGGCAGAGAGCTGCAACCGGACACAACACACGATGCACCCCTGGCCTTACCAACCAAGCATCAACAACCTACAGCCCCCTCAGGAACGCAGCTGACTCATTCTTCGCCAGAAAAGAGGGAGACGGCTGCAAATGAACAAAACGACAACCAGGACCGAAAGAGCAGAAACCCCGGCGCCGGAGGAGAGCATGAAGCTCACCAACCCGACCCCCCCTTGGCCAATGCCAACAGGAAAAGAGCCTTGGAAAAACAATCCCGAACGGAAGGGGGCCACCACAAACCGGGGCAGAGAGAGAAACGAGAGCAAGCGGTCCAAAGACCAAGACGGCTTAGGCGGCGCATGAGCAGGCCAGAGGTGAAACAATGCCCGGGATAACTTGCGAAACGGGGCGGAAGTAACATCAACCCCGAAAGCAAGCTGAAGCGGCTCCGCCAACGCCGCACGATACGAAGCGACAGTATTCGGCATAAGATGACAGTCCTGAAACAGCCAAGAGAGAAAGGACAGAACAACCCTATTAGAGACCGAAGAACACTGATGCACTGATAGGAAAAACCGGAAGGACTGCCAGGAAACCTCACACTGCCGCCGAGACGAAGCACGCAGGTGGGAGACCAACAACAAAGCCACCTGCGCACCATTCAACGAATGATAAACCTGAGTCAAAAACACCCGAGGCGAAGATTTGAGGAGAAGATGGAACCAGCCTCGTACAGGGCCGGACCGATCTGCTGAAAGAGGCGGAGCCGCGGGAAGACCCTCGGGTACGGACACCGAGCAAGCAGCGCCTGAAAACAAGGCTGGGCCGGCAGCAGAGCCGAAGCAAGCAGGCCACGAGTCCGCAAATCCTTCGCAATCAAGGCAGCCGAAAGGGAAGGAACCTGCACGTGAAGCTGCATGACACCAACATCCCGCAGAAGGGCAGGGGCGAACAAACAAGCATTCAGATGCTCGAAAGCGCCCCCCAGGAAAACCTGCAACGCCAAGGAAACCTCTCGCCACTCAAGCGCATGGGACCGACAGAACGTGTGCCAAGCCTCCAACGAAAAGAGAGGACAGTCTGCCAACCAGGATGACTCCGGAACCTCATAACGAAACCAGCACGAACCTGGGGATCCATACACGAAGGAACGAGGATCCATCAGGAAGGCATAATCTGGGTCCCGCAAGAGGTAAGCCGCCAAGGCCTCCCACACCTCCGAAGCCGAAACATGGGAAGCGGGAACCTCTGGAAAGACGGAACCGAAGAACCCTCAGGATCACGGAACCTAACCCGGGGAGGGGTGGACACCAAATCCAATTCGTACGCAGAGGGAGCGAAAAAGAACCCCTCTCTTTGTAACACCAAGCCCCGCTTGGAGGGCAAAAAAAAAACCCAGGCGGGGTCCAACGGGGCCCAAGGCCCCCAAGCCAACCCCTCCCCAACCCCAGGAACCTCACCCAGAGGGCCCGGGGCCGAGCCGTCCTCCTGAGCCCCCACCCCCAAAGAAAAGGTGGGAGCAGCCAACAAAGCAGGAACAAAGGGGGCCCATTGGCCAGACCCAGAAGCTTCGGCAGAAGGACCTGGCTTGAATGCCTCCGCCACTGCTCCAGAAGTGGACACCCCTGAGACCGCCCGAGTCTCACAACCGACTAAACCCAGCCCCGGCTCCGAAACCCTCAGACGTTTAGGAGCTGGCAGCAAGGGGGGGGGGCGGGGGGGACCGAACGAGCAACAGAAGGGGAAGGACTTGGAGGGGCGGAAGGAACCAGAGACGAAGCTACCCCCACCCACAAGTCCGGGTCCCTATAACCAAAACGGGGCAGTCTCGGGGCATCCGGGGCATCCGGGGCAGCGACCAACCTAGCGCGTTGCAGCAACCTAAAGCGAGCATGCAACGCCTCAGCTGCCCTCACCCGCATATCAGGCGCAGTAGCCTGGGTGAACTGGAGTATGTACAGACAACACACGTCACATGACTCTGGGTCAAAACAATCACCGACCCAACAGGCAGCATGGCGGAGGCAAAACCGGTGAGTGTCCCCCCGAGACAAAGGGACAGAGCAACCGTCAAACTCGCAGGACGCGAGGGGGGACTCAGGGGTCACATCCATCAGACCACGTAGCCCCCGTGGGGTTTTCCAGTGCCCTTAGCCTTGATAACACGCTAAGGGAAGCCCAGGCAGGGTACTGCGAACTGGCACCCAAAACTACCAACAAACTGCTATAGCTGAACCCCCGGGACGTGTACACTCACGGGGGCCAAGCGGGGAGGACCACCAAGTAGACAATCTGGAGACAAACCCCAAGAACAGCGATGGGGACCAAACAGGCAGACCCCCCCACCAGGCAAAAAACAAAAACAAAAGAAAAACCCTGCAAGAGGACAACGTACCCAGGCGGAACAGAGCTGGCCGCTGTTATTGGTGAAAACTAGCTGTGCAGTACCCCGCGCCCCTGCCAGTGACGAAAACTACCCCCTACCCAGAGACAAACAAGGGCAAGAAAAAAACCAAGCTGACCTCAAGGGCGGCCAAGTACCGAGCCGTACACGGCACAGCGAAGGTAGACCCCAAGGCGACCCAGAGAAGGTAGCCCTAAGCTCCAAGGGCAGTACTTACAGGGCACCTAGGGAAGATAACCCTAGGCGCATGCAGCCCAAGCACCGTGGAATAATACTCCTGGCCCACACACCACCAGAAGGGACAGCTCAGACCACCAGGAACAGAACTGCAACTGCAAACAGGAGCCAGAGACACGACCGCACCAGATCCCATCAGCCTGAGAACTAATGGTTGGGTCGCCGACGGTGGGGTCTGGGGCTCCCCCCTTAACCCTCCCGGGGACGGGAGGGGGGAGAGGGGGACGGGGGGTTGCGCAGACGGCGGCGCGGCGACATGATGACGTCATGAGGGCTAATTTTTGTTTGGAGAGTTCTGTTCACCTGTTCGGTCTTCGGTCGCAATAGTTTACCAGAATAGGGGTTTGTTTTGGGGCGCCTACCTTTCTGGGTGCCTGTCCCAGTCGATGGCAGACATAGAATGCTCCCAATCATAAGGGAGGTCTCTATAGGCCATTGCTCCTCGTGCCTCTCTAGAGGGGGCCAGGTTCTGGCTCGTGGTCCCCGGTAGGCAAGAACTCCATGCATTGACTGATGCCAAAAAGTTATACATATCCATCCAGCCTCGATAGCTCTGGGGAACCTTCGGGGCTCCCCCCAGAAAAAATGTAAAATAATTCAGTAGACATATACGGTATTAGTTTTGCAGACTCACCTCCTCGTGTTCTCTCTGCATCTTCTCCTTCTTCTGCTGCATGTCTTGTGCAAACTCCAACTTAATCTTTTCTATCTCTTCATTATTTCTCTCTTCTATTTCTTTAATTAATTTATTTTTTCTCTCATTACTTTCCTTTTCTGTACGAATTTTTATACCTTCAATATCTTTATTATTTTCTTGTATAAGTTTAGAATTAATTTCTTTTCTTTTCTGTTCCAATTTTTTCTTCTCTTGTTCTTGAAATTTTTCAATGTGAGCTTTGTGTTCTTTCCTGGGAACAAATAACATAATCAGTAATAATAATAATAATAATAATAATAATAATAATAATAATAATAATAATAATAATAATAATAATAATACTGTAATAATAATAACAACAATAATAATAGAGAAATAGTAGTAATATGTGATATTAGTTAATTTCACTTATGCACAGTAATGAGAACATGGAGCAACATGACCCTATCATAGAGAGCTTGGACTACTACAGAAGCCCTGGACTACCACAGGGGTCTCTGGACTACCACAGGGGGTCTGGACAGAAGCCCTGGACTACCACAGGGGGTCTGGACTACCACAGGGGTTGGACAGAAGCCCTGGACTACCACAGGGGGTCTGGACTACTACAGAAGCCCTGGACTACCACAGGGGTCTGGACTACTACAGAAGCCCTGGACTACCACAGGGGGTCTGGACTACTACAGAAGCCCTGGACTACCACAGGGGTCTGGACTACTACAGAAGCCCTGGACTACCACAGGGTCTGGACTACTACAGGGGGTCTGGACTACTACAGAAGCCCTGGACTACCACAGGGGGTCTGGACTACTACAGAAGCCCTGGACTACCACAGGGGGTCTGGACTACTACAGAAGCCCTGGACTACCACAGGGGGTCTGGACTACTACAGAAGCCCTGGACTACCACAGGGGGTCTGGACTACTACAGAAGCCCTGGACTACCACACTACCACAGGGGGTCTGGACTACTACAGAAGCCCTGGACTACCACAGGGGGTCTGGACTACTACAGAAGCCCTGGACTACCACAGGGGGTCTGGACTACTACAGAAGCCCTGGACTACCACAGGGGGTCTGGACTACTACAGAAGCCCTGGACTACCACAGGGGGTCTGGACTACTACAGAAGCCCTGGACTACCACAGGGGGTCTGGACTACTACAGAAGCCCTGGACTACCACAGGGGGTCTGGACTACTACAGAAGCCCTGGACTACCACAGGGGACTACCACAGGGGTCTGGACTACTACAGAAGCCCTGGACTACCACAGGGGTCTGGACTACTACAGAAGCCCTGGACTACCACAGGGGGCCTGGACTACCACAGGGGGTCTGGACTACTACAGAAGCCCTGGACTACCACAGGGGGTCTGGACTACTACAGAAGCCCTGGACTACCACAGGGGTCTGGACTACTACAGAAGCCCTGGACTACCACTAGGGGACTCTACTACAGAAGCCCTGGACTACCAAGGGGTCTGGACTACTACAGAAGACCTGGACTACTACACAGGGGGGACCTGGACTACCACAGGGGGGACTACCACAGGGGGTCTGGACTACTACAGAAGCCCTGGACTACCACAGGGGGTCTGGACTACTACAGAAGCCCTGGACTACCACACGGGGTCTGGACTACTACAGAAGCCCTGGACTACCACAGGGGTCTGGACTACTACAGAAGCCCTGGACTACCAAGGGGTCTGGACTACTACAGAAGCCCTGGACAACCACAGGGGTCTGGACTACTACAGAAGCCCTGGACTACCAAGGGGTCTGGACTACTACAGAAGACCTGGACTACCACAGGGGGCCTGGACTACCACAGGGGGCCTGGACTACCACCACAGAGCACCTGGACTACGACAGGGGGGCCTGCACTACCACAGGGGGCCTGGACTACCACCACAGCGGGCCTGGAGTACCACAGGGGGGCCTGCACTACCACAGAGGGCCTGGACTACTACAGAAGATTTGGACTACCACAGGGGGGCCTGCACTACCACAGAGGGCCTGGACTAATACCACAGAGGGCCTGGACTACCACAGAGGGGGCCTGCACTACCACAGAGGGCCTCAATTACCACCACAGAGGGACTGGACTACCAAAGGGGGGCCTGCACTACCACAGAGGGCCTGGACTACCACCAAAGAGGGCCTGGACTACCACAGAAGCCCTGGTCTAACACAGATGGCTTGGACTACCACCACAGAGAGCCTGGACTACCACAGGGGGGCCTGCACTACAACAGAGGGTCTGGACTACCACCACAGCAGGCCTGGACTACCACAGGGGGCCTGGACTACCACAGGGGGCCTAGACTACCAAAGGGGGGCCTGCACTACCACAGGAGGCCTGGACTACCACAGGGGGTCTGGACTATCACCACAGAGGGCCTGGACTACGACAGGGAGGGGCCTGCATTACCACGGAGTTCCTGGACTACCAACACATCGGGCCTGGATTACCATAGGGGGGCCTGGACTACCACAGGGGGGCCTGCACTTCCACAGAGGGCCTGGACTACCACCACAGTGGGCCTGGACTACCACAGGAAGGCCGGGACTACAACAGGAGGCCTGGACTACCACAGGGGGGCCTGGACTACCACAGAAGCTCTGGAGTTCCACAGAGGGGCCTGCACTACCACAGAGAACCTGGACTATCACAGAGGGCCTGGACTACCACAGGAAGGCCTGGACTACAACAGGAGGCCTGGACTACCACAGGGGGGCCTGGACTACCACAGGGGGGCCTGGACTACCACAGAAGCTCTGGAGTACCACAGGGGGGCCTGCACTACCACAGAGAACCTGGACTATCACAGAGGGCCTGGACTACCACCACAGCAGGCCTGGACTACCACAGAAGCCCTGGACTACCACAGAGATCCTGGACTACCACAGAAGCCCTAGACTACCACAGAGTTGCCTGAACTACCACAGAGGCATGCACTACCACAGAGAACCTGGACTACCACTACAGAGGACTTGGACTACCACAAAGAGCCTGGACTACCACAGAGGGCCAGGATTACCACAGAGGCCTCTGGACTACCACAGAGGACCTGGACTAACACCAGAGAGCCTGGACTACCACAAAGAGCCTGGACTACCACAGAGGGCCAGGACTACGACAGAGAGCCTGGACTACCACAGAGAGCCTCGACTACCACAGAGGGCCTGGACTACCACAGAGGCCCTGGACTACCACAGAGGGCCTGGACTACCACAGAGAGCCTGGACTACCACAGAGAGCCTGGACTACCACAGAGGCCCTGGACTACCACTCGGGAGCCTGGACTACCACAAAGGGCCTGGACTACCACAGAAGGCATGGACTACCACTACAAAGGCCCTGGAGTACCACAGAGGACCTGGACTACCACAGAGGGCCTGGACTACCACAGAGGGCCTGGACTACCACAGAGGCCCTGGACTACCGGAGGGGCCTGGACTACCACCGCAGAGGACCTGGACTACCACAGAGCCTAGACTACCACAGATTGCTTGGACTACCACAGGGGCCACTGGACTACCACAGAGAGCCTGGACTACCACAGATTGCTTGGACTACCACAGAGGCCATGGACTAACACAGATTGCTTGGACTACCACAGAGGCCCTGGACTACCACTCGGGAGCCTGGACTACCACAAAGGGCCTGGACAACCACAGAAAGATCTGGACTACCACAGAAGGCATGGACTACCACTACAAAGGCCCTGGACTACCACAGAGGCCCCCCCTGAACTACCACAGAGGACCTGGACTACCACAGAGGGCCTGGACTACCACAGAGGGCCTGGACTACCACAGAGGGCCTGGACTACCACAGATGCCCTGGACTACCAGAGGGGCCTGGACTACCACCAGAGAGGACCTGGACTACCACAGAGCCTAGACTACTTGCTTGACTACCACAGGGGCCACTGGACTACCACAGAGAGCCTGGACTACCACAGATTGCTTGGACTACCACAGAGGCCATGGACTACCACAGATTGCTTGGAATACCACAGAGGCCCTGGACTACCACAGAGAGCCTGGACTACCACAAAGGGCCTGGACAACCACAGAAAGATCTGGACTACCACAGAAGGCATGGACTACCACTACAAAGGCCCTGGAGTACCACAGAGGACCCCCTGGACTACCACAGAGGGCCTGGACTACCACAGAGGGCCTGGACTACCACAGAGGGCCTGGACTACCACAGAGGGCCTGGACTACCACAGAGGCCCTGAACTACCAGAGGGGCCTAGACTACCACCGCAGAGGACCTGGACTACCACAGAGCCTAGACTACCACAGATTGCTTGGACTACCACAGGGGCCACTGGACTACCACAGAGAGCCTGGACTACCACAGATTGCTTGGACTACCACAGAGGCCATGGACTACCACAGATTGCTTGGACTACCACAGAGGCCCTGGACTACCACTCGGGAGCCTGGACTACCACAAAGGGCCTGGACAACCACAGAAAGATCTGGACTACCACAGAAGGCATGGACTACCACTACAAAGGCCCTGGACTACCACAGAGGCCCCCCTGAACTACCACAGAGGACATGGGCTACCACAGAGGGCCTGGACTACCACAGAGGGCCTGGACTACCACAGAGGGCCTGGACTACCACAGATGGCCCTGGACTACCAGAGGGGCCTGGACTACCACCACAGAGGACCTGGACTACCACAGAGCCTAGACTACCACAGATTGCTTGGACTACCACAGGGGCCACTGGACTACCACAGAGAGCCTGGACTACAACAGATTGCTTGGACTACCACAGAGGCCATGGACTACCACAGATTGCTTGGAATACCACAGAGGCCCTGGACTACCACAGAGAGCCTGGACTACCACAAAGGGCCTGGACAACCACAGAAAGATCTGGACTACCACAGAAGGCATGGACTACCACTACAAAGGCCCTGGACTACCACAGAGGCCCCCCCTGAACTACCACAGAGGACCTGGACTACCACAGAGGGCCTGGACTACCACAGAGGGCCTGGACTACCACAGAGGGCCTGGACTACCACAGATGCCCTGGACTACCAGAGGGGCCTGGACTACCACCACAGAGGACCTGGACTACCACAGAGCCTAGACTACCACAGATTGCTTGGACTACCACAGGGGCCACTGGACTACCACAGAGAGCCTGGACTACAACAGATTGCTTGGACTACCACAGAGGCCATGGACTACCACAGATTGCTTGGAATACCACAGAG